CAACTTCAAGTTGGCCTCCAAAGGAGTTCCAATGGGCTTGTAATCTCCCATGTTGAATTGTTTCAACACTTCTTCAATTTACTTGCTTTGGCTCAATGTGATGGTCTTTGATTCTCTACTTCTTGTGAATTCCACACCCAAACAATAATGGAGCTCTCTCAAATCACTCATCTCAAACTCTCTCTCTAATTTCTTCTTCAACCAATCCAATCTTACCATGGTGTTGCTTAAGATGATTAAATCATCTACATAGAGGATCACAACCAGCAAGAAGTCCTTGGCTTGCAATACATACAAAGAATGGTCAGCTTCACTCCTTACAAAACCTTCCTTCACAAAGAATGAGTCAATGCGTTGGTACCATGCTCTTGGTGATTGCTTCAATCCATACAATGACTTCTTCAACTTGCAAACAAGGTGGTGTTTGTCTTGTTCAATAAATCCTTGAGGTTGCTCCATGTAGATGTCTTCTTCCAATTCTCCATTCAAAAATATTGTCTTGACGTCCATTTGATGCATTTCAAGGTCCATTGATGCTCCAATTGCTACTATGGTTCTAATGGTGGTGAACTTGGCCACGGGTACAAATGTCTCATTAAAGTCCACTCCAGCAACTTGTGAGTAGCCTTTGGCAACCAATCTTACCTTGTACCTCACAACATTGTCCATAGCATCTCTCTTGGTTCTAAACACCCACTTACATCTAATTGCTGATCGATTTGGTGGAAGTGGAGTCAAATCCCATGTCTCATTGTCTATAAGAGATTTGTATTCTTCTTGCATGGCAATCTCCCACTTCATTGCATCACCACACCTCATTGCATCACACAAAGTCAATGGATCATCAAGAAGAGCAACATTGGCATGGTCTTCACTTACTTGTGGAAAGATGTGGTTCTTCCACCATTCACCTTGTGGTCTTCTCTCACGTGTTGGATATCTTCTTTCATGTAAAGGAGATGAGCCTTCATGCACCTCTTGCTGCCTTGTATGGCTCATGGAGTTCTTTGTCTTACTCATTGGTTGATATTCTTCATCTTCATTTTCTTGATTGTCCTTGTTGTATCTTGCTGGAATTGAAGTCTTCATAGTATTGGGCTCTTCTTCATCTTTTTGTTTGTTTGCTGGAATTGAAGATGTGTCCACAAACACACCACTACTCCCACTTGGACACATCTCCCACTTTTCACTACCACTCTTATGCTCCAAGAATTCTATATCACGACTTTTGATGATCTTTTTGGTATCTAAACATATGAGCCTATATGCCTTGGTGCCTTCACAATAACCAAGGAATACACATCTTGTGCCCTTTGCATCAAGTTTGCCTCTCATACTATCTGGAACCTTGACATATGCAATGCACTTAAAAATCCTCATGCGGGATATGCAAGGTTTGTTACTAGTCCAAGCTTCTTGGGGAGTCATTCCTTCAAGTACACTTATGGAACACCTATTTCTTGTATACACGGCATTTACCACAGCTTCCGCCCAATACTCATACCCAAGTTTTTGAGCATGAATCATACTCCTTGCCATCTCCACAATGGTACGATTTGCTCTTTCAGTAACTCCATTTTGTTGTGGGGTGTAGGGAGTGGAGGTTTGTCTTGCAATGCCTTCATGCTTCAATAACTCATCAAAGTGTTTGGACAAATACTCACCTCCATTGTCCGATCACAGCACCTTAATCTTGTGCTCACATTGCTTCTCCACAAGTGCTTTCCACTCCTTAAACTTGGCAAAACACTCACTCTTGGCCTTGATGATGTAAATCCATACCTTCCTTGCGAAGTCATCAATAAATGTGACAAAGTACCTTACTCCACTCATAGATGGTGTCCTCATGGGTCCAAAAACATCCGAATGCACAAGCTCTAGCAATTGGTTTGCTCTTGTTGCAACTCCACTAGGAAATGGTGTCCTATGTTGTTTGCCTTGAATGCATCCCTCACAAGCAAGATTCATGGTAGAATTGCCAAGGTCTAAGCCACTTACCATGGATTGAAGCTCCTTCATGCTTTTGGCATTCAAATGCCCAAGTCTTTGATGCCAAATGCCTACCTTGTCTTCATTTGATGGAAATTCAGCAAAGGCAGTAACTTCCACTCCATTGATCCTCTTGCAATTGATAATATAGAGATTGCCATCCCTAGTCCCTTTTGCTACTTTTTTGCCTTCTATGGTTCTCACAAAACATCCATTCATGTTAAATTGCACTTTGCACCCATGAATTACAAGTTTATTCACCGAAAGGAGGTTCTTCTTCATCTTTGGTACATGCAACACATCCTTGAGAGTGATTCTCTTGCTTATGCCCTTCACCACCACCTCCACTACAATGGTGCCAATTCCAATGGCTTGTACCATACTATTATCACCTAACCAAACCTTGGTTGCTGGAATTGGTTGATAAGTGTTAAATGAACACTTGTATGGAGTCATGTGTTTGGTACATCCGGAATCCACAATCCATTTGCTCATATCAAGCATGGAAGGAGTTTGTTTTGCCATGAATGCAAAGTCTTCACTTCCATGGTCATGAAAAGCATTGTTGGCATTCTCTCTTTCTCCTCTCTTTGCCTTGAAACAATTTCTAGCAAAATGGCCTAGTTTTCCACAAATGTAACAAGTTTTAGGAGGATAACGTTGAAAAGGGGCACTTGCCTTACTTGGTCTTGTAAATAGTACTGATTGCTCCCCAATAGACTCCTTTTGTTTTCTTTTGGTCACTTCATGGGATAGTCTTGCCGTGACATAATCCAAAGTAAGGTCTTTCCTTGAAATGAACTCCAATCCTACAATGAGGGAGGAATAGGAGTCCGGAAGGCTTGAAAGCAATGTCATCACAACATCTTCTTCAAGTAAAGGCTTGTCAACAACAGCAAGTTGGTTTGTAAGTACTTTTACCTTATTCACATGAGCCATGAGATCTTCACCTTCTTCCATCTTCACGGTGAAGAATTTTTGCCTTGACCATAGCACATTGGAGAGATTCCTACTTTCATAGACATTGCAAAGAGTCTTCCATGCATCTGCTGCCCCTTTGCAAGAAATGACATGAGCAAAGTTTCTTTCATCTAAATTGGTGGCAATTATGCCAAAAGCCTTCTTCTCTCGTCTTTTGAAGTCCTTTTGCTCCTTGATGCTTGCCTCTACCCCAGGTGTAAGTTCCTCCTCATCTACTATCTCCCAAAGATCCAATGACGCCAAAAGTAGCTCCATTTTGGCCTTCCAGTGGTGAAAGTTGTCACCTCTAAACTTTTCAACAACTCTTAAGCTATCACCCTCAAAAGATGCCATCTCAAGCTACAAGTAGGTCCAAAAAACTTTTGATTTGGAGTTGTAATACAAAAGATATGACTACTTAAAGATTGCTGAACTACAAACCCAGAATTCGCTGTTTTGCAACTTTTTGCATATTTTGAGTCCAAATTACGTCTAAATCATGGGAAATGGTTTGTAATGTGATTTTATGACTTTCAAACGTCTCTCTCACATCACTTCACTCAAAATGACTCACTTTCTCATAAACTCTCAAATACTAGTGCTCCTTCAGCAAAGACACTATCAAGGTCTTGCACTAAGCTCATACACTCACATATCCAGGAACAATGACTTCAATAATTCACTAGCAATACTCTACCATAAGATCTCAACCACCAAAAACAAGCAACAAAGAAATAATGCAAGAACAACTTACTTGGTAAGAGAATGTGGGCCCATAACCTGTTGAAACATAGAAAGCATACTCTACATAAGTAAGTTAGGACCAGGAAGGTTGCACTTTAACAAATAGAGTGTGGTATGAGATAATTCTTCCCATGCCAACCCTTTCCTTATATACTAGTACCAAGGTACCAAGTGCTACAACCCATATAGGATATCTCCTAGGACCAGCCTTCTCCTTGTACTCTAATGCACTATAGACCAGCACCTAACCTTATGGGATATCCCTAACAACACTTATACTCTATTGACCATTAGCAACTACTTAAAGAGTTCTTTCCTTCAACAAGTACATACATAAAAAGGTATTCAAAACATGTTTGAAAAATTACCTTGTCTCTGCAATAATAATAGAACCACAATTAGAAGGAGGATTTAATAAAAAAAGCCTTATAAGTCATAGTCAAATAGGACTATATATATATATATATATATATATATATATACATATATATATGATTGTAAAATTAGATATATACATTACAATAGCAATTTATTTGTACATAAGATACATGAATACTCACTTATAATTGTTATCCATAGATATAAACAAGTTATAGTTAATTTTAATACAACATATTGCACCACAAAAAATTGCTTATTATTTTATTAAATAAGACTTTTAAAAAAGTTCAATAAAATAATCTCATACAAAATTGACACAATAAGGGCTTTAAGTATGTGAAATATGAACTCAAAATTGTATTAGATTTGTATTTGTAAGTTGCATAAGCAAAAGGCTTATTCCAAGGGATTCTCTTGTTGAAATATATCAATTGCAAGTTTTGTCTTGTGCCAATGAACAAGAAGTCTTGCATAAACTCATAGCATGCATAATAAAAACTGCAATTGAAGCATTTTCTTAACCACACTAGTCATGCCAATGTCATTCTGTGTTCCAACAAGGTGAACAATTTGTTCAAAGCAACTAGTTGCAACCAACAGTAATGACAAAGAAGCCATCACTACTACATTGTCAAATGCATATAGACATTACTAATCAATACAAAAACAACACTATTAATGATTGGCATGTATTTGTCAAGTGTACTGACACCAAGATGAATATTATTCATGGATGTTGGGAACATTAAAAAGTCAAGAATTTTTTATTAAAAAAGAAGAAGAAGAAGAAGAAAGATTGGTTGGAGTATAAGACCTGTAGAAATGAGAAAGGAAAAGGAAAGAAGGCAGATCACAAGACTGGTACATGGACATGACCAATGAATTAAACAATGCTGGGATTGGATAGGATTGGAGGAATTGGGAAGTAAACGTGGTGGCATGAACGTGAGGGACGGAGGGAGGGGAGGTTTGCGGAACGGTGTTGGGAACGGAACGGAAAGGGCCGGGGCGAGCGAAACCCTAAACGGGGCGAGGCAGGGGTTAATCGGAGAAGCTTGGAACCGTGGTTCCTCTTTCGCCTTCGCGCACTTCGCTTAGCCCCCCTCCCATCGGATCGCCAGCACCATGAAGGTGAGACTCTTGCACGCTTCCTTCCATCTCCATGTTCTATTGTTCGCCTGCGCTGCTCTCTGTACCTCTCTGTTTCCGGTCTTCCTAATTTGGTTGCGTTCCTGACTGCAGCTCAACATCGCCAACCCCACTACGGGGTGCCAGAAGAAGGTTGAGATCGATGACGACGCTAAGCTGTAAGTGGCTTGGTTCTTTGCGACCCTTTGCAGTCTGTCGGTGGATGTTCGCCTGCAATTTTACGTGCTCTCTTGTTCGCGCCTGCGTTTTGCACTGCTTTTTAGGGTTTGGAGTTTTGCAAACGTATCACCCCTTTCAGATAGGCAGTGCGAGATTCAGGAATGCGCCACCTTTATATACGCCTAGCATGGGAGCTCTCTTATCGGTCTTCGGCTTTGTTTGGTGCTTGTGTTCAGTCGCCAATTCTACGACAAGAGATTGGCCCAGGAGGTCAGCGGTGACCAGCTGGGAGATGAGTTCAAGGGGTATGTCTTCAAGATCATGGGAGGCTGCGACAAGCAGGGTTTCCCAATGAAGCAGGGAGTTCTCACTCAAGGCCGTGTGCAGCTCCTGATGCACAGAGGTATGGCGATAGATAGACACGGGTGTTGGTGTCATGAAGTAGGCTAGTCTGAACGAGACATTTATGTCCTCGCTGCTCCTCTTGTGCAACAAGCGTTGAGTGGGGTTGTGGAGTGGTTTGATGGGCTCAGTATGGGTGCGAGAATTTAGTTCTCCCTTTTGTAACGATTATTGTGTGTTGTTGCAGGGGTCTCTTGCTTCAGGGGATACGGGAGGCGCAACGGGGAGCGGAGGCGTAAGTCCGTGAGGGGATGCATCGTTAGCCCAGACCTCTCGGTGTTGAACCTGGTTATCGTCAAGCAAGGTCAGTCAGTGTCTTTGCTAGGATAAATGAATCAACGTCCACGGAGAGGTTCGTCGGAGGCTGCTAATTTCCTTTCCCTGTCCGTGCAATGGCATTGAGGTGGCTGGAAGCAGGTGGTTTGTGGGTACGTCGGGGCCGCGTTGCCAAGCAGCAAGGTCGTTGTTAGGATCCTCCTGCGCCGCTAGTTTATTGAGTTGGATCCGGTATAGTTGTGTCGAATATGCTAGTTTGTTTTTGGGGGGGAGGGGGTGGGGATGATTATGAACCCACTTCTGGCTGTGGTTGTCGCAGGTGATAATGACTTGCCTGGACTCACTGATATTGAGAAGCCCAGAATGAGGGGTCCGAAGAGAGCCACCAAAATTCGCAAGCTCTTCAATCTCACCAAGGAGGATGATGTGAGGAAATACGTCAACACCTATCGTCGCAGCTTTGTATCGGCCACAGGTACAGTCATGGCTCCTGATGTGGGTGTCGTATTTTGCCATGCTTCCTTTCGTGCAGTCGCCGATGTAGAGCGGGGGCCATTGTTGCGAGGAGCCCTCTACTGACGTCTGCGTGCGTGCTTTCAGGCAAGAAGAGGAGCAAGGCACCGAAGATCCAGAGGCTTGTGACTCCTTTGACTTTGCAGAGGAAGCGCCGTAGAGTGGCAATCAAGAAGGCGCGTGTCGCCAAAGCCAAGACCGAGGCAGCAGAGTACCAGAAACTCTTGGCTCTTCGCATTAAGGAGCAGCGGGAGCACCGTAGTGAGAGTTTGGCCAAGAAGCGTGCTTCACGCGCATCGCTTGCCAAGCCCGAGGCTTAGACCAATAGTCAAGCTATTAGGTTGTTTCGGCATGCAGCCCGAATTGAGTCGGGTCTTTAATTCATCATGTTCCAATTTTAAAGTTTGTTGACTGTTGTGAATGTCGAGGGTGGCAGTGGGACCCTGCCAAACTATCGTTGCGAGGGCTATGTTTTCTCCTCTTGGTTTCTCAGATTTGCAATGGGGTGGGAGGTAGAATTCGAGGTTTTTTCTCTTTGCCCAAACACGATGGCAGGTCGATGCAATTTACGTATTGGGGAAAATCATGTAAAATGTGAATGTTTTTCACCCAACGGACGTTTAGTGAACAGTGGGCCAATGACTTATCAGTGCGCCTCTTTTGGAAAAGGCGTGTTCTTCCCCAGTTTTCGGGACCTGTGACAGGACCTCCCGCAGCGCAGGTTTAATGGTTCTGCCAGGCACCGTGTTGTGATGTTGAGTGATAGTTTCTTTGATCAGATGCCCCAGGTACCTTGGAGGTGAGTGCGTCATGCTTTTCTGACGGAGGAGCATGGTATACCACCCCGCTGTCCACCACGCACATAGATCCTACAACTTTGTATACGGACTCCAAGCTTGCTCATGGTTTTTGATTTTGGCGGAGCAATGACAGTTCCTCATGGATGCAGATCATGAATGGATCGCGTTAAACATACCCACTCGAGCTTTGCCAAAGCCCTGCGCGTCGCTGAGTTGAAAAGCCTCTGCTCGTCAGCCACTGATTTTCCGCCCCTCGCCTCCCAAACCCCGTCGCTCTCCTTCCGTTCTGGTTGCTGTTCGCATTCCCATGGAAGCGCCGCCAAGGGTCAAGCTGAACAGGAGGCTATCAATGGCGTTTTGACATCGGCTTGGCCTTCCCGCTATCTGCGTCGCTCTGCTTTACCGGTTCTTCTTGCAAGGATCTGGAACGTTGGAAACTGCAGGAAGTTTGGGAATTGGCACAGGAGAGCTTGGTTGTATGGTTGTATAGCAGTTGGTTGGATTGTGGAGGAGTAGGGCTTGGTTGTCATGCAGGTGGTTGGATTGTGGAAGAGTAGGGCTTGGTTATATTGCAGGTGGTTGGATTGTGCAACATTTGCCAAGGTGGATTGCTCAGTGGATTTTGTTTAATTTTGTTCTGTTTATGTTGTAACAATTGTTTATTTTAGTTTTATTTTAGTGTGGTTTCGGTTGTCTCTTGGTCCCAATTGGGTCTCAATGAAGTTGCCAATTTTTTAGAATCTGGAGTGAATGTTTGCAATTGTGCAACACTAGGTGATTTTATGAAAATGCAAAACAATATTTTAGAGTTGCTTTGAATTATGATAAATATGGTTTTTACAATTCAATCATCTGAAGGGTTGTGGTTGTGGTGTTGGTGTTGAGAAGCTTTTAAATTGAATTGGAAGTATTTTTGAAGTTGGTAAAGAAATTGAGTGTCTATTGCAATTCTTAAAGCATAGGTTAGATGGTGGTATATGCCTACCATACTTCTTGAATTGAATTCTTATCCTAGGTTGAAGTTTCATTTATTTATTTTTTATTTTATAAGTTTTTTATTGATGATGTTGGTTGTATTTGGAAAGTTTAATACCATTGTGAGCTCATTGGGGGAAGTAAAGAAATGTTGGGATTGTGGAAATATTCATACAAGTGGTGTGATTTTAGAGTGGATTGTGTGATTTTGATTGATCTAAACATGCTAGTGCTATGTATTCCATATTCTTCCATGCAAGATTGATATTCAAACAATGTTAAAGCACTCAACATATTGATCACTTTGGAGAAGAACAATGGGCAATGCAAAGACTTGCAACATATCAAAGATGGTTGGTTTTTTTGTGCATCTTTTTAGATTCATTTGAAATCTTTTAGTACAATACATATTGGATTCATGAATGCTATATGTAGACAAAAAGAAAAGATAGAACATCCTCTAAATGTCTCTTCAATGCATCAATATCTTTTATTTGGTATATTTGTTTATGTGCAAGAATGTTTAAAATATTTTATATTTGTATACATGACTTTTAATTGGAATATTTGGTTCTTGATTTAGTTTGTATTTTTTAAATTATTTTATTTAGTTACTACTTTGTGCATTGTATTTTTAAAAAAAATATATTTAAGTTAGATTATTATTATTATTATTATTATTATTATTAATTTAATACTTATTATGCCTCATATTAAGGAGCATTCTAAATTATATATTCTTTGGTATTTGTTTTATTTTGTTTTTTCTTTCTTCCTTATTTTAGATGTTATTAATAAATTACTTTCATACTAGTCAAAGATAAATAAGACTTTATAATCACACGGAAATTCTTTAAATGACTTAGAAGTGGCTATTTTCCTATAAAATTAATATATAATAATCATGACTTTTTGTTCTTGTACCATTATTCAAGCCTCCTTATTAGTATTTGCCTTAATGAAATATACTTACTTAATCAATTGTAGGTGTAGTCTATAAAGAATCTAACAAAAATAATAAGTCTAATAAAAGTGGTTACACCATCTTCTATTCTATTTATTACATGGATAATTGCTTATTATTGAATTCACATTTAAGACCTATTTTGTCTAATTGATTATATCATTGAAGACCTTGATAGCTAATAATGAATTCTTAAACCAAGTTTATAGAACCAATATTTTTTGTAAAGTACTATAAGTCTCATCCTTGCTTCAAACCAATATATACTATTTGTTTCTTTTAAGTTCCTTTGTCATATTCACTTTTGTGTAAAGTGGATAATCAAATTTAATAGAATCTCAACTTTGATCATAGTTTCTTTTTAATTTTTTTTTGCTATTTATTTACTTATTTTCATTATTACATAGTAATAAAAATGATTTTTAAGCCAATTATAGAACTTTTCTAATGTACCTTACTATTGTAGTAGGTTATTTAAATCTTAAAGATCAAATTCTAATTCAATGGTAATAATATACCTTATAGCTTAAGAGTTCTTTCTACTCACACTTGCACTCTTAGATTCTTCCAATGTAGTGTGAGAGATAGTTCGCTAATTTGAATAAAGATTCATCATCTATTACTTGATAAGAATGTCTTCTTCTCTTCAAATTCTAGTGCAGTAGTTCAAAACGGAATAGATTTAAAAGTTTTTTTTTTTTTTTTTTTTTTCTATAGTATTTTTAAAAAATTATTTGTAGAATTATGTTATATTATTGCATTGCTAGATACTTCACTATTACTATATTGTTTTGTTGTACTACTATGTTATTAGCTATTATCTACATACGCCACAATCACTAGTACTATAATGTCAAGAGAGCTTGTTGGTATTGGTTGTATGTTGAGGTTGTATATATTATATTTATACAATGGTATAAGAATGTTGATCACAATTGTTAGAATGATTGAAGGTACAATATTAGGAGGCATATAATGCAATACAAGTTGTTAGTATATTTTTATTATTTTTTTATGTGCAATAAGTCATCTAAAACAAAAAATGATGGTATGTTATTTGAAAATATTAAACTATAGACAAAAAATTCAAAACTCTACAATATCAATGAATACTTCTTGATAATAAATGTTTTTTTAATCCTAAACCCTTATACCCTAAATCCTAAACTACATTTTAGAAGATTGAAGAATCTCAAAATTATAGTGCACATGACAAAATATTATATTATTATTAATGAGATTATTCAATGGACATCATATATTGTATATCAATCGAATTTAACTGCATCATCATTTTTTTCGATGTTGTTTGTGTTAAAGTTGTTAAAGTAAGTAAATAAAAGTGAAAGTAGAATAAGTTATATTATAGAGGATATTACTTTAGATAAGTTGCTATTCGTCATAGAATTGCCTCTTGGTATATAAAAAGGCCAAGAAATAAGGTAGATGAATGGACAAAAGATCTCAAGAGTGTAGAAAATATGCTTAAGGCATATTCTTTTAGTAAATAAGATAGCAATAGATAGTCTCAGTAGAATGTTGGATGAATGTATTCATCAAAGGATGGAAGTTCATTATTAGGGCACTAACCACCACCTACAAGTAACGGGTGTTGGAAGTGAGAGATATCTTAGTCCATACTCTCTTTGTGTTCAACCTTGTTGATTTTAAGTGTTGTGACTTCATAGTCCTTGTTCTTCAATAGTTTGTAAATTCCAAATGTAAAATTACTTTGTATAATCATATTGTCTAAAAGGTTTATCTCACACTTATCACTTGATGCTATTGACTAACCAACTTCTAGTACAAATGCATATGAACTTGTCACAAACAATTGTATACAATGGACATTTTCTAATCAATTTTCTCCTCGAATTGCAAAGCACAATGAAGTGACAATGCTGACTTCTTCTACAAAACATTCCAATCTTGCACTATTACATGAGATAAAAATGGATTACTACCTTCCCTTTGTCCACTAAGTCCACAAAATTCCAAAATTCACCAATAAAAAACCTATCAGCATTGTTTTGGGGGTGTCAACAGTAAAATCTATTCACTGAAGATTGATTGGCTACATCATACTTCTCTGAAATATTTTTCTCTTTGACTTGTTTTCTTACGTTGATGACACCGACAATTGAAGGTCTCGTATGCAAGGAAGGAAAGGGCGGAGGGAGGGAGGAATGGTGGGGGGTGGGATTGGAATAGAGTGACAGCGTGACTTCCGCTCCCCCAGCTCCTTCTGTTCCTCCTCGCCAATGGATCCTCATTCCCGAGATAGAGAGCGACTCCGTCGTGGCGTGGGGCCCGTCGTGCGCTCTGCTGTCGGCAGGCCCATGGACAGGCCCGGTCAAGCTCGGACCACGTGGCAGACTAGAAGGGCAGGGAGCAAGCTGGCCGTTGGATGGAGAGGAGGCGGAAGACTACACGGCATCCCATTCTCTTTCGGGGGCATCCATATTGCCCAGCTGGGCCACCATGTGGCACTTACAGGAGGGTCACTTGTCAGCAGCCCTGGAGGCAGCTGGGATAGGAGAGGAGCGTTCAGGAGGGAGGAAGGGCGTGCTTGTGCTTGTTTTGTGTCGGCGAGTGGACTCTGTTGCCATTTATTTGCATCGCCTTCTCCCAGCTTCTCTCTTCCCCAGCCCTTGTTCTATTTCGCTTTCTGTTTGCGAGTTGAAGGCCTCCCTCTCTCTCTCTCTCTCTCTCTCTCTGTTCTGAGGATTCTCGTCGTGCTGGTGGTGGACGTTTCTTCATTCAGCACACTGTCGTGGCTTCTTTCGATTGTAAGATCCTTTTCTGAAGCCCTTCTCAGTCGTTGCTCTCGCGTGACTTTTTCTCATGCTGCTGCTGCTGCTGTTCTCGTGGTTCTAGTTCAGGTGTTTCGTTGCAAGACTGTGTAGTAGCTCGAGGAGGATGGTTTAACCTGCTGAAGATTTCCTTTCTGTCTTGTAGCTTTCTGTAGAGGGCTTGTTTGCATGCAGAGAGTTAATAAAGTTGGTTTGAATTATTCTGTTTAGGATTGATGGGTGGTTGCTCTCTTGATTGACCTTGATCGGAATGCATCTGCTATCTACCTGGATGGTAGAACTGGGATGCTGGTGTTCTGCTGATATAGATTCAAGTTGAGTCATATGCCATGGATTACGTGAGTCCACCAGGATCGGTTTTGGTGCAGGGAATTGCTTTTCACTGAGACGTGGAATGGTTTGATTTAACTGAAATAATTCTTCTTGGTGCGCGTCAGCGTTCAATTCTTAGAATCTATGGACTAGGACCGCTCTATTTTGAAAGGCAGAGCTTGGTTTCAACACCCAATGGTTGTCAAAATTTTCAAAAAGGAATTTCCAAGTTCTAACTGCAATTGGTGGTCCTGTATTCGACCAGCTTTTATGACAGGTTAGGTCATTTCCTGGTCTGTTACACCGTCTTTAAAGACAACCATTATCCCGGTCAGCCGTGATCATCTTGAAAGCGTGTGATATCTTGCGGAGGTAGAAGACAGCCTCGCAGGTCTGAAATAGGATCATATAGATTTAAGATAAGATGGAGTGGATCAAGAAGCATTTTCCAGGAGGCCATGGAGACTCTGAAATGTCAGTTTCTGACAAATGGATGGGGAGCACGACGCAACATCAAGGCGAGAAAGCCTCGTCAATAGTACAATCTAGGGTCGAGAAAGACAATGCCAAAGAGTCCGAGGAGACCAAGGCCAAGCTTGAGTCGCTTTCAAGATGCAAATCATTCGCACCGCCATCGCAATCGGCCTCTGATCTAGCGAGATCACATTCCATGAGCGTTGTCATGAAGAAGGATTCGGAAGAAGCTAAAGACGACGATACCCCTCTTGATCCCAGGGAAGAATGCTTGGTTACGGTGCCCGATGCTATTGTGCACCTCGTGGATGACCAGCAGAGCCCTCACCTGGCAACTGCCCATTTCTCAGTGGTGCGTATTACCCAGAAGGGTAACGGTATTGTGGTGCTGGTGCGTGTGGGAGAGGACTTGCACTGGCCTTTGATGAAGGATATGCCCACTGTCAAGCTTGACCCCACACATTACTTCTTCACGCTTCCTGTTCCATCTTCTATTGATGCTCCCGAAGACGAGAGCAAATCCGAGGTTTAACAATACATCCTTAAATTGTCGTTTAAGTGATACTCATGTAATATTCGTCACATTGTGATAGTGCGTGTCAGGATAACCGAAATATTTGATTCTGCGTGTGGTTTCGTCCTGTTTTGATCCACCATGTGTCGAGTGTAGTCGATGGTTCTTGATTGTTCTAAATTGCAGGGTCACTGTGAGAAAAACGGATTTGAAACGCTGAATTACGGAGTTACGTTTCCAGACCCTTCAAATCACGAGCAAGCATTGCATGAGCTGGACAGTTTGTTAGCAACGTACACGTCCTTTTCATCTCCAACTCTTGTACAAGGTGATCAACGCAAGGAAGAATTCGCACAAACCAACAAACACTTGTCACTGAACAAGAAGGAGAAAACCGAAACTGACGTTGCTACTCGTGTAAACGAGGGCAACAAAGATTATCGTGGCAAACTAGTTCCCAAGAAAGTCCTATCTGGTGAGGAGCAACAGGTAAGGGTGCGATTACTTTGCGGCCATTGTGTGATCTCTTGACATCTCTCAAATACTAAATCAAATATATTAGAGTGTCCTTAAAGTGAGGATCAGGTATTGTCCTTTATGGAGTTGATGTGGTTGATACTTATCTAAATTTCGAGACTCCGAATAGGTGACTGTGACGGAGGAGAATCAGAGTGCTTTCTGGACCACAATGGCGCCTAATGTAGACGACTATGGGTCTAGTGCTGCAAGAGCAATTGCAACTGGGTCAGGCCACGTTATCCGTGGAATTTTCTGGGTGCGGGATTCCACTGTTGCACAGCTGGAGAGTGGCACACTGTACCTGCAGAGCAAGATGAACCCTTTGGACAAGCCTAGCAATATCAGTCCCAGAACTCTCAGAAACTTGAAACGGTACTCTTAAATTACATTCGATTGATGCCATGTCCTCTTCTTCATACTCCACTTGCATTACATAATCAAAACTACAGATTGTGTGCTAATTGTTAGTAGTTGGTTCTCTCGTTTATGGTTGAAATCCTGGAAGGATAACGGTTGAGTAGAAGAAGCTAAGTCTATGGCGTCCACTGAAACTAGCGCTGGAAAATGGGAGGATATGATTCATCATCTCATGTAAAATGAAACATGATCATTGCTCAGGTTCATATTGTGTGGGCCCGCATTGTGATTAGGGTGCGGGATATGTCGCGGGCAACAGAGAATGTAGCGAGGAGTGTGCTGCTGGGCATAGTTAAGACAGCAGGATTCTTTTCGGGGTCGCTCATCAAGTCTAGAGCTGGAAAGAAGGTGTTCAAGTTGATGCCTGGTGAAGTGGCTCTCGTTTCGTTAGATGCCTTCGGTGAGTTTTTTATTGATCATAAATCAAATCTCAGATTCGTCCCTTTGGCGATGTAAGTGTGTGGGAGATAGTTCTACGTAATGTTACAAGAGTCGGTACAATTTGGATTGTGCTGCAGACATTTAGAATTAGATGGTTTGGGACGCAGAATCAAAGTCGTGGATTTAACCCGTCTTTCTATCCTAAATTGGCGATACCCTATCAAAACTCCTAATCATCCCCCAAGATTCATTGTTCTATAACTTATTGCACTTATCATATTTGTAAACGAGAGTTGTAAGATTGTATTCTTGATCTGACTACTAATTTGGTACAGGCAAGTTGTTTGATGCTGTGGAGAAGGCAACTTCAGATGTCCTAGAATCCACGTCGTTGATGACGCAAAATGTGATTGCGCACAGGTATGATTTCTCTATCCACCTCTTTCTATCGCTCGTCTATCAGAGACAATGACTATTCCTAGTGCCTCTTGGAAGTCTGATGTGATGTGAGGAATGAGGTGTAGGTACGGAGAGTCGGCGGGGCAGGTCACGCAAGACACATTCGCCACAGCAGGTCACGTTGTGGCAACAGCTTGGACGGTTGCCAAGCTTCGGAATGCATTAAACCCGAAGGCAGGAGCAAGACCCCTGACCAAAACCGGCGTGATCAAAGGCCTAGCCAAGAATGTTGTCAAGGGAAAACAACCTACTACTTAATTCATTCCGAAACCTGGGGATGATTGTCTTACTGCGTGGCAGTGGATGTGTACTGGCGAGCTTGGTAAAATAGTTTGAGGGTAGAGTTTCGTCTCCCAACGTGGCACATTACCATTTACTTTAGTATACATGGTTAACATGGGAATTACAAAAAAAACGTTTTGGAGGTATATGAGAAGATATGAGGAACTTATACCGCTCTTAGTTTCTGACAGCATTAAATTTACATAGTTCCTATTCACACAAGTAGAATATAAGTTATAGGATTTAGAAATTTACATGGTAGAATTCGACAACACATAAATTCTTTGGACAAAAATGAATTTGTAGGGCAGCTATTTATTGTTTCCCTCAATCATGTAATATTGTTAAAAGTAGATGTATTTGACAGTCTACTCTACACAGTAATACCACAGCTTAATGACCAAATTGCCAAGAACCGGTCCTCACAAAATCCTTCAATAAGACAAGTTAAGCCTCAGAATAAATGTACTGAAAAAATCCTGATAATATAAATCATCTGCATCGCAATTTTGTGCCATGTGCACTTGTCGCAATATATTCTACACAATTCGAATTTAATGCAAGTAAATATTCGACAATACATATCATAAGCAATTTCACAGTAAGCATCCAAGATTCAAAGAGATCTGAATTGACATAGCTCTTCATAATCATTACATATATGTTTGAATTCCAATACACGGTACAAATGAGACGAATCCTTTTGAAAGAACTCAATTTATGGGATTCGTGAACACGATCATTAGTCACGTATTTACTTAAACCTACTTAGTACATAAATTGTGTTTCTAATTAAACCGAGAATTGAATGGCCGATCCTACATCATTGAAAGAATGAATCACGCAAAAAGAGGACTTCCTTGAACCAACCTTAATGATTCAAAGAATTTCGTATAAATGACCTACACTTCAATTCGTAAGCAGAAAAATCAATCAGCTTCAGGCGGTGTGGTTGCAGATGCAAGTGACAAACGCGATACACGCACAGCGCCAATCAAGCGCTCTGGAAGTTCTTCCATGCCATTCCCCTGCATAATAATGCCCATTAGAATAAAAGAGTTGCAAACTTAACCAAATTGTATTTTCTTACAAGCAAATTTGAATTTTGGTAATTTAATAATAACTAAATTTCATCAGATTTTTTCATGCACATGTGTTGATGCGTGTGTGTGTGCGTGTGTGTACGCGCGTGTAGGAAATTACTGCACCGGACATCATCTTCGGTGTTACCATGGCCATAATGACAGGAATCTGGAAGTGAGTCTTCGTGAAAATCAATGCATTTGTTCAAGGGGTACCTAGTGAAGTCCTTGAAAACGCGAAGCTTTTGTTACTGTTATTATTATTATTATTATATTCAACCCAACCCATGTTTTTCGCCATGTTACAACAATCTTCGAAGCATGACTTGATTATTGCATCGAGTGCGAGGACTAGTGAAACAACATACCTGAATCAAAAAAGCCATGTCAACAACTAGCGCACTCACGACACCAAATACAAGCCCAAGTACACCATTAGCTACTGTTGATGACCCAATGTCGATATCAACCTGGTAAAACAAAGTAATTTGGTTAGCATACATGAAGCAACAGTTCTGGAAAATCGAGAGAAAAAGATCTGAAAGCCGATTTCATCAACAACCAATTATTTTTGATAACGATGCGTCGAAGCTAAGTCAATATTTCAATCCGCAGCAGGCTTCCCCACACACACTTAAAATATATCGTACTCCCAGCATTACGCTCCTCTAACTCAACCCATTCAGTTTGTGCGTAATTAATTCCTCCTTCATTCATGCAAGTGAAAACGAGGCCGAATACCTCAAGGTAATTGGAACCACGATAATAAGTGCAATCTACTGCTTTGCCAAGAATGCAAGGCGTAGTACCCACACTCTGCCTTACAATCCATGATCCCTGCAACAGACAGTCTTGAACATATTAGAAGATTCAACTGATTGTTGAAAATTGTTGAACACGCAAGAGCTTTATATTCAGCAAATGGTAATGCAGTTAGTTCAGCCAAATAAAAGATTCTACGTATCAAACACATCGTCTGAAAACTGGAATGAAGATATGAGGATTCTAAGCTGAATATATTACAAGATGAGTTCAATAATTCTAAGGCAGCAGACCTGGGGAACAGAAGGAATGAGTTTGAGGCGACTGTTACGAAAATTGTCATCTCCATCCACAAAGCGTTGCAGAAGTGACCCTTGAGGCGCCTTAGGTGCAACAAAGTAGAAGATCATGCTGTAGTGAGACGCTGCTGGTACCTAGATTTATAGCAAGACAAAAATTTAACTTGTGGAGCGCACATTTTCTCAGGAACAGCTCCCATCAAGCTGCATCTTCCGGCAATCAAGCTCAAATAACATTAATCAAACTTGCTGCACCGATATCCTGTTGACTCGTGCGCAGTTTCAGCTATATAACGTGATATAGAACGAAATTCTAAGTCTTGAGGATCTGAAATTACTTCAGGCAACCACAGATAAATTTGGTTGTAACCCCATGAAGTACACAAGTATATGATATCCACTTAGCTTTAGCAAATTCAAACCTGGACATTAAACGCTACTGTAAAGAGTCCCATCTCTCCCGCCACCTGGAAAACATAATAAACTCAGCCAAACCCGAACGAACAGCATAGAAACACGATGACAATGAAGTCGCAGACTTAAATGCTGCCCGTTCTCATGAATCATTCTCTTTATTCGTCTTTCCGACCAGGGAAGCCATCAGGTTCAATAGAGTAGCAACGCATTCTGGCTTCATGTACTATCATGACTTCATGGAGAAGAGGATGGAGGATGATGTTTAGTGGGAGCTAGACGAGTGTTCGAGGATGAACTGTTAATCTAACCGATTTCAAAAATATGTTTAGGATTAAAATGCACGCAGAGACCATATTGATCATCAGGAACAGTACAATTCCACTGTCTTGGCTTTTAACGGTCAACAAACACATACTGGAGAAGACTATACAAGAGAGGCTTATAGCTGATAACAGACATGACTTCGTACCTGAGCAACGCAGCCTTTTCTCTTGGCAACATGATCAATACGCTTGATGTCTTTGAACCAATCGACTGCCACGAGCTGCATTAATGGTTCACCTGCAGCAGTCTGGTTGTATACGACATTTTCGAGAATATGAGACTTCAAATTTCAAGAAAAAGACCTCATGTAATCCCCCATAATAAACCTCTTCCTCCCCGTGAGTATTCTTCATCGCAGGTTGTACTAGGTAAAGTTGATATGAGAACCAACATAATCCAATCCAGAATATGCGTACTTTTTTAAGTGTAAATAATGTTTCGAGAAGGCAAACACTAACTCAAAATTTTTACAAATAAGAAAAAACAAATCTGATTCTACAACATGCAGTCGTACCCGGTGGATCGACGCCCAAGTTCCAGGCTATATCTAAAGCTTAAATTTAAAACAGCTGTCTGAATCTTACTTCAAACTGTCATGAAAGATATAAGTTGATGTATGAAAATTCATGACATAGTTTGCATAGAAGAAGGGACAAGAAGAAACTGAAAGTCAGCAACTCGCCTTTGAACGATCAATTAGAAAGTGCTTGCTTCGAACGCGGAAATTATTGCAGTCCGGGATACTCCAGCAGTTCTTGCCATTATCAAGATCGCCCTTGCCAAGGTTGCCTGATAACATTGACAAATCCAGAGATACAGGAGGTGGCTCCGACACTGATTCTACAGGAACATCAGAAGAACAAATACAATAATTAGTACTCTTCATACTTTGCATACAAGATTACGACAAAACCATATCGAGCAAGGATCAACTTAAATACTGTCCTATAAGTGAAATAAAAATGATACGAATCCCGCACCTATTAACTCCACTAAGTTTCAAATTCTTCACATTGCATCTATCCAATGAATAAAATACAACGGCACAATTAAACACCCAAGTTGTGCCATATTTCATTGAGTTCTTCCATGATTGGTGAATACTCTCAGTAGACAAAATTAATCTCCTTTGAACCCATCCAACACTATCAACCCTTCAGACATAATCATGAAGGGTAAGGCCTCTTGATACCTGTTGCATTCAAATTCTTCGATATAAAGTTGGGCTGCCAAGGCAATGAAGCATTAGAACTAGAAGAATTAAATGTTAGTCTTTGCACAGACATCAATCTAGCAAGTCCAAAATGATGACTCACATAGTGAGAATAACCCTATCATGTTAAGTTGGTCTTTTGCTTTCTTGGAAAAAATGCATTGATGCAACTTCATCACGCACAGAGGTGACATGCTGTTATCATTCCCACTTCTAGCTCAGGTTCTTCTCCTTAACTAATTTTAATTAGTTTTTTCTATATTTATATATTTGAATGCAACTTATCTTCCACAACAGGACCGACAGAACAGTTCAAAACTGTGAAAAGCTGAAAACAAGCGAGGCATAACAGAAACAAAAATATAAAATTAAAATAAACTTACCTCTGAATCAGCATAGAACTGCATATCGTCATCATCGTACTCAGACTCATCATAATTGGATTGACCTGCTGAGGGCATCTCAGGTAATGAGGCAACATTCTGAAGTGCACTTCGCTTTCTCGTCTTTGCAGTGCCTAATTTAGGTATCCTTGGCACAGATGGTAGAGAACAGTTTCCATCCCTTTGTGCAAACCACTCCCTAAGACCTGGAAAAGTCATAAAGCATAGCGCCAGTCGAATGTAAAAGTAAAGAATGATACACATTGGCATATTGCGCTACAAACCGTATCACGCTGGGAAAGTCAAGCGTCCACATGATACCCTAGCAAGGGTAAATTTGATGTTCAGCTTATTAAATAGATAGACAATAGAATGGGAGAGCAGAAGCTTCATAAGAAAAATTAAATTACCAGCAACACTGTTAAGAATCTGAATAACAGAATGATAATGACAGAGAGGGAGGTAGTTTGCACCCCAACCCTTCAAGTCAATGTGCACTAATTGCTGCACTCGTGCCCGGGGGTCTCCATTTGGATGAGATTTTAGAGGAGAGATAGTAAAACCTCCACCTACACATCATCCATTTCATCCATGCGATATGATAAGATATCAAACATACGACTCTGAAATACAACACCATAGCACATACGCAGTGCCGGAATCTTACAGTAATTGACTCCAGACAAGGCCAAGAGCCATGTAGAACTTAAAGAGGAAAAAGATGAATTTCAATCAGGGGGAGCACGCAGAAGGGCAATCACTAAAGAGATTTAGGACATGAAAACGTTCCTAAAATGATCAACGCATCAAACCGTAAGAAAATAACTGTACTTACTTTCAATGTGTGCTCGAACGCAACCTGGCTCTGGGGGACAACTAGGATGCTCCTTCGACCGGAACAAAATAACTACAGCCAAACCACGACACCACTCAGAAAGAGCACTTCCACACGCTATAAGAAATTTACTAATGGTCCGTGCAGTCAGTAACACAGACATCATACACGATTTGCACAAGTACATGCAAGATACATGAATTTGGCTGCTTGAACCCACGCCTTCACACGTGAGTCATTTTAAAAGCTTAAATAAAGAGAAAAACAAAGACCAAGTCCAGAAAAAAATCAATGAAAGAAAAAAAAAGCGAGGAACTAGAAAAGGCTTTTATTAAAAGCAGCTTCACAAAGGGACTGTCAAATCTATCAAAAGGCAGAAACCCAAGTAAAAGTATCAATGCATTGAAATGTTCTGAAAGAGATAGTTCTATGTAGACACATAAGTTTTAATATCCAGCTTCGATTCTATCATAATAATTCATTAAACTTTGTTGGAGAAGGCAGACTGAAATACGTCGACATTCAGAGAAATTTGACATATTTAATTATGTTGCAACTCTGGAACCCGACACTGAAATTCAGCAACGATCAGCGTAAGTACTAATGAGGAATAGTTAGTGTTGTAGCCTCTCATTCAAGCATCAACTTTGAGAGGTGAGACTGCAAATTCACATTAAGTCCTGTGAAAACAAGTTTATAAGGGAACCTTGAAAAGCATTGCTAGAAGTGCAAAGAGAGGAAGAGAGAGTCTAGCAATAAACGCCATTTTGGCAGGACTATTGTGTATAGGATGCGTTGGACATTCAGAGCATAAAAGAGAGCTTGTAGGTAGTAAAGTACCATAGCTTCCATCATCGTTGCGACGCCAATAGCGCAAATAGCAAAGATCACGAGGCCATAAAAACCTACAAATATGTACAAAATATTAAGTATACGTTCGCACATGTGCATTCAGAATGACTAAAACCCTATGTTGCAGAAAGTAGTTAACCTAGAACATTTATTCAAATTACGCAAGCCCAATGAGAATGTCGTGCACCACTACAAAGTGCTTGAAGTATTAGAATACTGCGGGAAATTACTAGAGAACCAAAACTTCGACGCAGCTTAGCACAACTTACATGGGAAGAAAGTCTAACTGGAGACGCTGATAAAGAATAGTAGTGTGTCCGTCAACTTCCTGCACTAAACGGGCTTCATGAAAGCTGCAGTCCCATCTGTGGAGTGAACCCGCTAGTGTCAAGCATAGCAAGAAAATACTAATTACGTTGTTGACAAAACTGCTTGTTTGTGCGAAAAAGAAATGAGATGCTGTTCAGTCATGCAAGTTAAACTTAAAGATGATAAAGAGAAAAAGATTCGTAACCAGTGAAAGAAGAAAAGGAGGTGACAAACCAGCAAGCACCAACGAATAGCATTTAGTATGACCCAGCAATCTAAACGATAGTTATGTGTAAGATTTTACACAATTGAAAGCACTAGAAACCTACTCATAGCGTGTTTCGTCAATGCCCATGATAAGCTCAAAAATATCTGCACAGGAAGCTTCCACCACTCCAACTGCCTTCATTCCCTTGCATCGGCCCTGCAGATATATACTACGTCATATCTTTGCTCTGAGATCTGCGGCACATAACTTATTCTTGTTTGATAAAGTGCTTTTAAAAGACCCAACTTTAGTTCGACCACATCAAAACAAAGGGAAAACTCAGAAGGGGCATTTACAGCTTGAACGCCATCCTGAACTTCTTCAAAAAATCTGAGCCCTGCGAAAAACACCTAGACTTGTGAGCTGCAGCTACGATTTCTAACTTCCACATGCAACGCATGTACCAGAAGACACATAAGAGCGGCATAAAAAGGTATCACAAGTTACAAGTCTCAGACTTGCCATTCTGACAACGGACAAGGTGCCAGTGTCTTCTTGCAGAAGCAGCCGCATCCGCATTCAGATTACTCCACCTTGGATCTATACCCCTACTCCAATCCTCTATCGATTCTGGAGGTCCTTAAACCAACAAACATCCAAGACACAAAATCAGACCTCTGGATGAGCAGGTGCAAATGATGGCACAGTACCCCTTCGTGACTCGTACGACTTAAAACTCAAAACTCCCGCAGCTCAACAGGTTTCTCTTCTAGCTAGATCCAAAATTGCGTCTCCCATGTTGGAAAAGAGTACAGGCGATTACCAATACATTGATTATGCGCAAACCAGTTCACTGACATACCATTTCCAACAGTCCTATTACGATGATGGTTTTGCTTCTTATCGTCATCATCATCATCAGGTTGAGACTTGCCACTATTACCCCTGAAATACAACAAAAAAAAAAAACAAACAAACATTACAATCAGTTCACTTCTGTTTCGGAGCAACCCAAAATGCAAAAACAAAATTGAAAAATAGACGAAGTAGATCACAGTGAGAATGAGGGACGAGATAGAAACTGGCTATCATGGTCTGAGGATGATGCATCTCGGTCCGGATCTTCCTGTGTTTTGCACACAGAAGGTGGAAAGGTCATGCTCCCATTCGTTGTATGCAGATTCAAATACTGCAACCGTCATCCACAGGCTACATCAGTATTTTGAATTAACTCCTAAGATTCTTTAGCCCTTTGAAGCTATTCCATGAATACGTCAAGAAAAAGATCAACATGAACTTACAATAGTTATTGCTGAAAACTTAACCGCATTTAATGGATGAAAAGTGATTAACCAATCTGATTAAGTTGTCACAGCATTCACTTAGCAGATTCCACAAAATCCTAGATATTACCTGATCAATGACCTGTTCTAAAGCTTCCTTCCATGCAGATGCATCCTGCACGTTAAAAGCTGCCATCTAGACCAAAAAAAGGGGTACATCCAAGGAAGAATCAGTTTCAGCTCAGTTGTAATCTGTGATAGAAGAAATATTTTAGATGCGATCTTACTCTTACGTAGAGACAAATACCAGAAATCAGTGGTTATTACTCAGTTACAGTACAAATGAATCAAGAAAAAAAGAATATTTCCACAAGAACAGGGAGAGGGAACACAGGTACCGTAATACGGTGAGATGGTTCCTTCTTGTTGATTACAGACAAAACATACACAGTCTGTACCACATCCACATAGAATAAACAAATCGCCAATAAGTACAAATCAGAATCATGGTTTAAGAAGCCACTTAAAAACTATCAAAGAGTCTTAACACCTGAAATGGCCGTACTAAAGGAGTGTATAGTCAGCTACAGACTGGCCAAGCTGTCAGTGCAACGGGCTCATCTCCAGTCAAAAGTGCATGCATGGCCAGTGCTTCAGGCTAACAGCGATACTCAGGATTTCACAACCTTTATCTCGACTCCCACAGCGAGACATTCTTATTTTATACAGGCCATTTCGCATCTTCTGTCTGCGGACTATTCATTTCATCAGATTGTCCATTAATACGCTCCACACGAAGTGTTGCTAGTTCTCTGGGGGCTTTCTGAAGGGAATATGTCTTCAAAAAGAGAAGGCATCCGGCTAGTTCTGACCCACAAATATCACCTTGCTCGCAATCGTCACAAGATGACTCACTAAGTTGTACCATTAATTTGCAAAAACTCGTTTCTCTTGGCGCTATATTCCAAAAACTTTCACCTTCAGAATAATATTTCAAGGATTTCAGTCGTGCTCCATTTAACAACTTTACAGTGTATCCAAAAAGCAACATGAAGAATTTGTTGCGTTTCATAGCGATCCTCGTAAGCTACAGTTATCACTGCTTTATAGGTGTCGAAATAAGCAGGGAGAGCAACGAAAAGGTCTATCGTACATCTCTGCTCAAGGAACCAACATTCCAATCACATACCATTACGGTAGCATATTTGACTCAGAAAAGCTATAAATACAGCAAGGAATGATCAACATACGTGGCCGTGATGAGTCTCAAGCCCTCGATCTTCAACTCGACAATTTCCATCAATAGGAAGAGTTTTGATGGGAACCTGCGTAGCAACGTTCGTAAACTTCAAGAGAATTAGTGTCATTTTCAATACCTGAAAAAGTGCTTAAACATGGCAGTGACCACTTGTCTGAAACTCCTTGAAAGCGAGATTAGATATACCTAACAGCTACTTACATGCTCCAATTAGCAACGGTAATGAATAGAGAGACGATCCCTTCAAGCATTTCAAACAGATCTAGCGTTTAGCACTAAATCTTCCTGTTCCTTCCGGACCGCAGTTTCATAGAGAATTCCAGAGCAGTATGACTCGTAAGTTGGCTATTAAATACTCTTCCTAGCAGTGAAACTCTTCTGGAATTTTTACAACTATTATTTTGGTGCATACTCTGCTTCTTCTGCACATTGCCCCCGATCAGTTCAGGCTACACGTAATACAAAACACTTATTAAACTCATTCCATCATCAGAAAACTATTTACTGCCGCAGGGGTCGACATTGATAAAATTGATGTGCTTCATCCAAGCAGTAAAAAAACTGGAAGCAATTATAGCAATAAAAGATAAAATGCAGAGTACTGTAAACACAATTTCCAAAGAACTACTTGCTGGACAGGTCTAGTGTCTTTGACGATTACGTCATGGTGTCAGAAAAATTTCACACGGCATAAAAACCGAAGAGCTACTACAAGTCTGCACGAAATCGAAAGTAAATCAATCATGAGCTACTAAGAATTAAATGGTCAGCTTTAGACACCGATGAGGTCGAAGCACTGTGTACCTCGTTGGCAGATGGCTGTCGCTTGTAATACGCAAGAATCAGGGATTCCAGCACAAAATAACGTTTATGGAAATATGACCGGCCAATCTTGCGACGGCCATAACGCACCATCCATCCCTCCATGGTTGGTCCAGTCATTGTTGACTAGTTTTTCATTCGCCACCCAAAAGCTCCACAGATTCATATTCCATTTTGCAATAAGCGTATTCAAACACGAGTTCAAATATGTGCTACATCCTCCGCTGCAGGACTGATGAGTTTGCCATGCATCGCAATCTCATACGAGCCTAGGCAAACTCCACCCTCTGCATCAATCACCAAACCACATCCTCCAACGTTTAATCATCGCCAATGAGTAACCGGTCTCAGACTGCCTGCTCCAACTACACTATCAAAAACGCTCTTCGTTCACACCCACGAAACCACTCAAACGAGCGATTCCAAACACCAACTAGTCAAAATAACCATATACCTTCATAAAATTATAGAAAATCGACAAATGTATGCTCTAAGTACATGTGGAGCAAACAATGACCTTAAGCAACATCGGATCTTTGACCTAGCAGCAGACACACCATACATTCACTCCTAAGGCAACACCATTCGACTTCAACCGTAAGAAAATTCATAAAAATTAATAAACATATATATATATATATATATATAAAGGCGGGGGCACTCGGGTCATCCCAAGAATCCGAATCGGAATTCGGGAACAGAAAAAACCAGGCGCGCTAAGTCAAAGCCGGAGATGCGAAGAAAGGACCTACGGCTTCCTAATGTTCAACGACTCAATATATTGCTGTTCATCGAACAACACCAGACATACTGCGAATGAGAAGAGAGAGCGAGAGCGCGAGAAACCATGTCGATGCAGTATGGAAGACAGCAGGGACGTCGTGATACTCGAAGAAGGGTAGAGGTGGAAAGAGGCAGTGCAGAAATGTACCTAGTACGTAGCTTAGGCGCTGAGCAGCCTGTACTCAAAGGAAGCACATGGCTGAGCCCTAAAACAGTCTGATGGAATTCGAAGAAGAAGAAGAAGAAGAGATGAAGAAAGGCTGGACGATTCGATCGAAGCGAAAGAGAGGGAGAGAGAGGGGGAGAGAGAGAGGAATGGGAAGGAGATGTATGAATCGATTGAATCCTCACAGCCTATTCGGTGAAACACACTGGCACTTGAGAGAGATTTTTGCTGCTTGGCTCTGCTCTTCCAGTGGAATTTGAGCCAGGTTACGGACATGTTCGGTCATACGTGCCCCGTCACCCGTCGCCCGCATTCTGTTCGCTTTCCCCGCTTTCCATTCGCCATTCTCCTTTCCCTTCCCCCTGAACTTGCACTTCCAATTGTGTTCATCTTTCTTCTTCTTCAAGACCGCTGCGTCCATTCCACACAATTACTGACCCGTTCGTTCATCAGCTTGCGTGCACCCTTTGGCAACTAAGCTCATCTTCTATGGGACTGACTCCCTGCTCACTTTCTTAATATCCATGCATACTAATAAACTCTTTCTAAATCCTATCGCATTATCATCTTAAATGCTATGCTAAAGCAATTATTAAAAATAGTTTTCTTCTCCAAAATAATTAATTTACATGTGATTGAATGCTACATGTTTAACACTGTAATTGCACCTAAGCTAAAATTTAACAAATATTAATCATAAAATTTATTATTCAACTATGTGCTACATCTTGCTTCTAGAATTTGGAATTTTATAATTTTATAAATATGTATTCAATTTTAATCATTAAAAAAGATAAAGGTAAATTTTCAATTAATTTATAACACATTAAAATTTGACCATGAGATTGTCAAAATTTTAGCTAGTTGTTGTAAAATTATACATACATATATATATTTATATATATATTATTTAAAATATAAATTATTTAGTGTATAATTTTATTGTGACTTTTAATAAAAATATACTAAAACCACTAAATAAATCTTTTAATATCATATAATAATATAATAATTATTAAGATATTAAAATATTTTACCAAAATATATTAAAAATCTAAAAAATAACTATTCTTATTTTTAAAAAAATAATAATAAATATAAAAATATTCATAAATGGCAAAATAATTATAACATTTTAAAGATTTAAATAAATAATAAATAATATATAAAACTACCTATTTTCTATATTTTATTCATTATAATTTAAAAATATCAATAATTATGATTAATAATTATGATTAATTATTTATTTATTAAATAAAATAAAATTATAATTATAATTTTAAATTTATATCTAAAATTTAGTGGGTATAAAAAGCTTAATAAAATGTATCATAATCTTTTTTTAATTTAAAAAACTAGTAATATTTTTATTTGATTTAAATAATTATTTGAATATAAAATAAAAATTAAGATGAAATAATATAGGCTAGATTTTATATTAACATCTTTAAAATGTAGTACTTTTAATTATAATTAAAAATATATTTTATAATTTTTAGCATATTTTTTAAAGATTTTTTATTTCTATTTTTAAAATTTATGTAGATTATTAAAAATATTAGAATAAAAATTGAAATTATTATAGTATTTGTTAAGCTAATAAGACATTTTTAAACACCATAGTATAGTTTAATACATAGAATATACATTTTTGTTATAAAAAATAATATGGTTAGTTGTTGTTAGAAATTTGAATCTATTAATTTGTCAAGAACAAATACTTAAGAAATATAGATAAACAAGTGAGACTTTTCTTAAAGAAATATGAAAAAAATAATATTAATAAATATGTATATTTATAAAGAAATTAAATGACTATTGCCAAAAGACATAAAACTAAAGACTCTTGAAATTAAATTAGAAGCAAAAAAAGAATTGACAAGAGTGAGGAAGACCTTATTCTTACCTCTATTATCTATTTAAGAGTTACGTGTCAATGTTCTATGAGGCCCTCAATATGTGTCAAACTCATATGATACATGTCTAACATACAAGAAAAGCTTCTTATATGTATACCATATATTTAATTTATACCATCAATGGCCAACTTATTAACTAATTTTCAACCTATTAATCACCTACATATATATATATATATATATATATATATATATATAGATAGATAGATAGATAGATAGATAGATAGATATAAAGACAAAATTATATATACAAAGCTTTAAAAAAGCTTTTATATAAGATAGTATCAAATTTATATTTTTTTATTTTTTTTTATTTTTTTATTTTTTTATTTTTTTATTCATATTATCTTAATAATCATTAAAATAAACATGGATGTTCATGATATAATCTCCCTCTTTCTACAAACAAGTTCTATAAAGAGTAGTGATTATATGTTGAGCAGATTTAAGATTTAATAAATTGTATTTGCCACATATTTTGATTTTTGTTTCTTTTAAAAATGATTAATAAGTCTTCTCATCTATCCATAGTATCATATACCAAGGCAAAAAGACCACCTTGATATTTGACTATTATTAAGGATTTTTGTAATTTTTTTGAATAAAATATTTAAAATACCATCAAGAGTAGTTATTACTTCTAATAATATTACCAAACATTGAAATTCTCTTCTAGTGTCATATTATCAAACATGTTATATCTTACTATCTATTTGAGAAATAACATGTTATTTTTGAAGATTTTTATCTCTATTATATTGTCTTAAAGATTGTGACAATTACAATATCATATCTTGTGATTCAACAAATGATATCGTTTGAATTAATTTGTTCATTCTTCATTCTACATATCTTTAGCATCACAAATATAAAAAAAATCCACAATCAAAGATAGAAGATAAAATGCAATTTTTATTGAATTATATTTATTTTGTGATAAAAAATTATTTAATTCTTCATTTTGATTTAAATGAATGTCATATTGAAAAGCTCTGACTTTTTATTGCTATATTTATAAGATTTTTAAATAGCTTTTAAATATATATACTAATATTATATCAATGTAAGTAAATAAGATATTTCAACTTACATTAGCATCACCTTGAATCTAAGATTTTTTTGATTACAATAATACAAACAAAGTGGGAAGTAAAGAAACTTTTACTTCTAATATTTATTACTTATAGGTAGTAGTTATTGCTTTAAAAGATAACTTCTACTCTTTGACTTTTACATATATAGTCTCATAGACATACACATGTAAATCAATAATTACATATATGATTAAGTAAAATTAAGTGAAAATAGGTTAATTCCATAACATTTTTTATAGTAGCTTTTTAGAAGCTTTATAGATGCTCCTTTGACTTTATAGGTGTCTATAATTGACTTTTTAGATTAGAAATGTGGTCAACAAGTTAGCCATGTGCCACATATGTTGATAACTTGAAGAACAAGCTAAGTATATGGCCTATACATTAAAAAACTTGCCTTGTAAGCTAAAGTATGTCTCTTATAAAGTCAACACATATTAGAGTTCTTATGCAACATTTTCACATAGCTCTTAATTAGATAATATATATAGAGGCAAGAGAAAAGCCCTCTTCACTCTTGTCAACTCCTTTCTTGCTTCTAATCTAGATTTAAGAGTCTCTAGTTTCCTTATCTTTTGGCAATAGCTATTCTAATTTCTTTTTAACATACATATTACGTTATTGCTATTTTGTCATTTTTTTATATAGATTTCTCAAGTTTATGTATCTTCTTCTAATTCATGTTCTTGACACATAGTCTTAGGATCCTTTAATATTTAATTTAATTATAAAGGGATCTTATGATAAATACTAATTATTCTTATTTAATCTTTAAATATTTTATAATTGATACTTTATTTTCTTAACTTTGATTTTTAATCCTTGATCTCATCTTATATCCATAAGATATTTTTTTTCTATGCCAAGAGTCAATCTTTGGACTATAAATAACTTATTTTAAGTAATATCTTTTATAAGATAATTTGTTCTACTTTCACTTTTACTTACTTATTTTAATACTTTTACTTATTTATTTTAATACTTTTACTTTGCTATAAGTGAAAGACTTTCAATCTTAATACCTTTGTTAATATGTGATGATTATCTTTTATTAATACCTTTGTTAACATATAATGTCTATCGTTTTTAACAAATCAATAAGGATATCTTTGATTGGAGAATATTTCATATCAATCACTCTTATTTCAATCATTTCTCATATGAAGTGATGTTGAATGTCAATGTCTTTGGTCCTTGAATGGTGCTTTGGATTCTTTGCAAATATAAAACATCCTTGATTATTATGCTCTATTAGAATTGCTTCTATTTGTACTACTCTTATATCCTCCAAAAGTTATTTTAGCCATATTGCCTCCATTGTACCATAACTTACTACCATGTAATCTGCCTCTATTATTGACTTTGAAATTATTGATTCTCTCTTGTAATTCCATAAAATAGCTCTTACTTCAACAAAGAATACATATCTTCTTATTAACCTTCTATTATTTGTATCTTGAGTCCAATCTATATTACAATAATCATGCAAAGTAGGTTTATCACTTCCAAGCTATAATTTGAAATGTAAAGTATCTTTTAAGTACCTCATGATCTATTTGATGGTTACTTAATAGATTGATCCAGCCTTTGACATGTGTTGGCTCACAATATTTACTATATATGCAAGATCCACTCATATATATATATATAAATGAGTCTACTATTACTTTGTATGAAATATCATATAATTGACCTTCAATTTTAACAAATTCTTCATCCATGAGCTTAATCAATTTTAAATGGACTCCTAAAGATATTTCAATAGACTTATACTCCTTCATGTTGAATTGTTTTAATATCTCTTCAATGTATTTGCTTTGATTTATTGTAATGGTCTTCTTAGGACAATCTCTTATAAACTCCACTCTTAAATAATAGTGAAGCTCTTTCAAATCACTAATCTCATACTCTTTTTTTAACTTTACGTTCAATCAATCTATTATCTTCAAGGTATTGGCTAAGCTGATTAAATCATCAATATAAAAGATGATAATTAATATGAATTTATTTGATTACATCACATACATAGAATAATCAACCTTAATTATTTAAAGTTCTTCATTTTTATAATATATGTCAATATTTTGGTACCATATTCTTTATGATTGATTGAATCCATACAAAGATTCTTTCAACTTATAAATAAGATATTATTGCCTTTTTTAATAAATCCTTAAGATTGATCTATATAAATGTTGTCTTTCAACCTTCTATATAAAATAACCATCTTCACATTCATTT